ATCTCCATCTCGAATTTGTGAATAATCTTTATCGAAAATGGCAGTTAATGCTGTTCGAATATTGCAACATTTTGTATAATGTCTGCGTTCACATGAGTCATCATCATTAATATGGCGAGAATGATGGGCACTAAATAAACCCAAAATATTTTAACTCTTTTGTTTGATGCAACAACTGCTACCTAATTAAACTACATATATGTTAGTTCTGTGATTTATCAATATAAGTGTAGTTGTGGACTCGACTACATAGGTAGGAGATTCCAACGTTTGGATCTGAGAATAAAAAAAATACACTTACCACCAAGGATTTTGAATCCGGATGTCAGGAAAAGCAAACTAACCAATACTTCTGGCTCAGCTATTGCTGAGCATGAAAGAAATAGCAGGAATTGTGTGGTTGATTTTAGTAGTGGCCGTTTCTCGATTTTATCTAGGTCCCACTCCTCATATCACCTCAAGGTTCTAGAGTCCTTGTATATCAGAATCCTTGAGCCTTCTCTTTGTAAACAGATGGAATGCTTACTTGGTCTGGATGTCATTGGATTCTAGTTTTCTTGAAATTAATATTTTTTTCCATTCGTTATATTAATTTAATTTAAACGCCGATATATATATTTTTATATCCCAAAAAATAAACTTGATAAGGCTGGGACGAAACCGGTTGTTCTTTTTTAGCTTTTTAAAATGCCATATATATTCTGCCTATTCCTAACTATAGTTAAATTTTGTACCATAAAAATTATATATATATATATATATATATATATATATATATATATATATATATATATATACGTTGGCCAAAATGTTCAGAACGGCATTGTTTTCGTCAGAAAAGTAGGTATAAGTTTTTATCAAAGTTGTTTTATATTGCATAATTTTCACAGCCAATAAATACGATATTAATTGTTATTGTCTGAGATTTTGGTGTAATTTGAGTGGATAATACAAAAGTTATGGATGTTTAGTGATTTACTGTAAAACACATGGCGGCCAAGGATGCTAAGGATATCATGGACCGAGCGTGTGAGCAACGATGAGCAACGCACGAGTGTAAGCAATCGACGGGAATTTGAAATAAGAACATCTGCTGAACATACGTGATAATTTGATATATTTTTGTTTTAATGATTTATATATATATATATATATATATATATATATATATATATATATAGTATACATAATATTTTTGTAAAATTTATTTAGACATGATTTTGATTGTTTCTATTGTTATTTTAGTGATTTGACATTTCTAATATATTTAACAGCCGACGTAAATTCGAGTAAAGCAACTTAAGACGATTTTTATTTTTTCCATATACTATTTAATAAAAACCGACGTATCTTCGAAAATTACTTAAACCGAAATGACTTAAGTCGAGGTATTACTGTAGTCCTTTTAAGCCTAATCTGGCTCTTGCAAAGGTAGAAGATAGCAGGAGTCAGGTATTTATTGAAACTCTACAGGGAACCGACCATTTTCCCAGCATCTTTAACAATAGATTACGAGTTCCATTTGAGATCTGGTTTAAGTTTGAGCTCGAATAGGCGCTCAAGACACAGGACCTCCCTGAAAGGGCACCCTTTCATCATGACCGGTAAAAATTCTGGATCTGCTTAATAGTTTTCGACACATTGAATGTGACCAGCCAGTTTTCCTCCATTGAGCTATCAAGGCTTGGTCAGAACAAAGATCAGCTGCCAAGCTCTGATCATGTAGAGTTTTGGAGACGCGCCCATATACCGTTGTATCATAGATATACGCAAGTGATGGGAATGTATAATTCGGCTGATAATTCATGTAAAATAGAAAGAGGGTAGGACGGAGAAGTGAGACCTGACGGACGCCTGCGTTGGTCACTTTGGTCTCGGAGGACTGGCCTTCTCTGTAAAAAAATATTCAGTTAAATATATTATAAGCTCGTGTAATTATTGTTGCAAAAACAGTATTAGAAAAATATACTGATTACATTAAAGCTAAATATTTCCGAATTACCAAAAACTTTTGCGTTCCTGTAATACCTCACATTATCACCTGTCAGAAATCTGTATATACAAACAGAAGCATTATATTCATTTTACGATGCAGGGTTACTATTTGTAGAAATGTACGCTTTTATTAACTTGTCGACAATGAGCTGACAACCAATGTCGCAGGGAAATACACTTGCATATGTCAAAACATTATAGCTACTTATGTAAAAGTCCCCCATCATTGTGCTCGTTTTTAATATAAGAATGTTAACATTCCATTAAAACAAAGCAACTTACAATCAATATTTTTTTTTTAAATACGGGTGGTCATGTGTTAAATGACTTTTTAACTCTAAAGGCATTTTGCTGTGGAATTTTAAATGATATTTTCTAATCAAAGAACGTGAACACAAGTTACATTCAAACTTTGGACTGTTAAGAATACAAAGACTATGTTGCTTATTTCCCGACATTTTTTCTTTCCTAAAAGACAACCACTGAGGATCGACATTATTCGAGA